TACAAATAACCTACCTTAAGTTACTTACCTAGGTACTAAAATACATTTAACCTAATTTAAGTTAATATAAGAAAAAAAAAACAAATGTTAAAGCCAGTAAAATATAAAAAATATGTAAAAAAAAATTAACCGTATTTAAGTTAGCATAAGATATAAAAAAAAAATGTTAAAGCAAGTAAAATATGAAATATATGTAAAAAAACTAACCTAATTTAAGTTAGCATAAGACATAAAAAAAAAATGTTAAAGCAAGTAAAATATGAAACATATGTAAGAAAATTAACCTAATTTAAGTTAGCATAAGATATAAAAAAAAAAAATAAAATATTAAAGCAAGTCAAATACAAAGATTGTACAAAATTTTTTCTAACCCAGTTTAAATCAGCAAACGCATCAAAATAATTGTAAAAAAAAAATATAAATTAAAAAAAAAAAAAAAAAATGTAAAATAACTAACTTAATTTAAGCTAGTAAAAGTAAGAAAATAAATATTAAGCCTAGAAAATATTAAACAAAAAAAAAAGAAAATGAACTATGTTTAATTCTTAAGTTATCATAAAAAAAAAAAAAAAATGTCTATGAACTAAGTACATTGTAAGCGAATTAAATATAAAAAAATTATAATTAGATAAGCGCACCAAAAATATAATTGGTTAGAAGTTAAAACTTTGTAGAATATATAGAATAATAGCAAAATATGTAAAAAAGTAAAAAAAAAAAAAAGTCATGATATGTCAACATGACAATATATTGTATACAAATATTAAATTTAAAATAAATTGTATAGCTATCATTACAACACCAGATAGGGAACTTAAAATATAAAATATATATGATTGTTAACAAGAATAGAAACACAACAATGGAATGCGGGGAGTACGAACTTTCAGTCTCAGTTCTATCCACCTATAATTTCTTCCTATGTAGTATGTAAACCTTAATCTTAATCACATTGCCCCTTTTGATTGTATAGTAAAATGTTTTCCTTATATATATATGTATATAAATGTCCAGTTTAAATTATATTCAAACTTTTTCAACTTTCAACTTTCAAATTTCAAATTTCAATTTTTTTTTTTTTCTTCACTATTTCTGTTTTTCTCTCTCCTATTAAATATTTGTACTGCTCTCACTCTCGCCCACGAGCGGTGTTGTGAGGGCAAACACAAAAAAAGTGTAGGGTGGATGTAATGATATGCTCACACACCATTATAATAAACTAAAATCTTACAGAATACTTAATAAATAACGGCCAGGCTGTCGTTTGTAGAAATCAGTCACATCAAATAAAACCATTATTAACGACAACTAAGATATCGGCACCCACTCATAACGGTAAAACACAGGATGTGTGACTTTATTATACGATGCCGCCAGAGAAAAGGAAAGAAAAAAAAGGGTATCTGTCGCCAAAGAATAATCTAGTTCCCAAGCTCAAGATAACATTTTTGATAAAGCCGCCTACCACTCTCTGGCCAGCATCGTCGCGTCGTCCCTTAAACCAGTGCATGAGCACCATTCACAGAGTAACAACCTCCAAAAAAATTCTAAAAAAAACCGATTTCAACGAGCGACATTCTGGACTCCTTATGTGAGCAATAATCAGTGCGTTTATTATTTCGAGTTATAATTTAAAAAAATATTACTCTGCGTCTATTAAAATCCTTAAAAAATAATTCACAATCGACTGCAAATCAGGTAAGGCAATTAATGTAATATTTTATATTAATTGCATTTAATATATGTATCGACAGGCGTCGTATTTTATTTCTTATCGTAATTTTTGAGTCATTACACAAGTATTTGTATATTTTCTTTTTTATCTGGAGCTGAAACTCCCACAATAGTCTCTACGTGGTTGTAGTGTAATGTTTAAACGATCCGTGAGTGTTAACTCGTTAGTTTGATAATTTATAATCGCTCCTTGTCCGACGATGAAAGGCTTTCCTAATATGCCTTCATGTGGCACTGGAAATGTTGGTTGAACCACATGGAATTCAGCAATTCGTTTGTCACGAATAATTTGTATTTCAATATTTGTAGACCCTATCGTATGAATACAATGTTCTTTGATTCCTTTTAGTTGGTAAATGGTTTTATCATATACCATTAAGTCTCCTTTGAGAGCTGAAAGTTAAATTAGATTTAAGTCACTACCCGAATCAAGCAGAAATCGGATAGATTGTTTAATGGTCTACGCTTAATGTCTAAGCTTTGACAGGTAATGTGGTTGTCGTCTAGTTTTTGTTTAATGGTAGTCATTAAGACGAATGTTGAAAAGTGATTGCGGCTGTTTTTATACTGCTTGCCGGATGTCCGCTGTTGACATCCTACTGCGATTGGTTTCCCTGATTTTTCGATGAATTTTCTGAAGTTTCTATTCCTTTTTTTGAGTTAAAGTATTTTAGCTTCCGACACACTTTCTTCGTGTGTCCTGGTTTCTTGCAGTATCTGCAAGTGATAGTGTTAACTATTGAGTAGGGTGGATGATTTGCTGAATTTCCACTGTTTGAAGTACTTTGTTGTGTCCGACAATCCCGTATCCAAAGCCCCATTTTTCCACAGTGGAAACATGGGGTACTTGTTTTTTGTCCAGGGTTTTATCGGTTTTTTGCTTGTTAGGTACTTCAAAGAATCGTTTGGAATCTTCTAGATTTTCTTACTCTTTCTTATTCGCGGGCTGCCTGTATGGCCTTGTCCAAGGTAGGAGGGTTTCTTGCTTTTATAAAGTCTTTGAGATTTCCAAGTTAATCGATGAATACTTGGCTTGTTTAGGCTTTAAAACTATTCTCTAAAGCTGTAGCTGCTTCTAACGTTTTTCCACTGGTATCCCGAATTATTTGTTGAGTATGTAACGTGCCAACCACGTCAACTCAAGTTTGATTGTATTTCGAAGCAAAATAACAAGTTGATGATATAATGATAGTTTATTTGTATTTATTTAACACGAAAATATTCTAAGTCCAATTAATTGAATTGTAAATGTATGGTAAAACGGGTTGTGACTTCGTATCGACTTATGGCTGTCCTGCTATAGTGCTCGTCGTCTTGGCTGGTTTTCGTCTGATGGACACTTGTCCATCGACGTATTTCGTCGGTTTTCCTATTAGATCCCTCCTATGGCATTTTTAGTATAAAAAATGGTACATAGCTGCGTACACCTGACGTCATTTCGGCGTCCTCTACGAATAATGTTAATTGGGATTATATGTTTTCAAAGTTATCTATTTTTGTTATTTACGGCTTTTTTCGTATTTCCTAGAATATGGATAATGCGCGCGTTCTATACTCTTATCGATGTGGCCGCCCGGACGTTTATATTATTACTATTATTGGGTTACGTGCCCTCTGCAGCATTTATATCTATTATTGAATATAATATATTATATTATAGGCGTATTATACTAATACAGCATAATATAATATATTATTCTATATATTATTACTATTATAATATGTACGTAGTCACAGCCCGTTACACCTCCCTGCCCTTTCAAAGGTTTTTGTAGGGCTACAATTTGTAGAACTACAAAAATCTTTAAAATAATTTTACATAAGAAATGGATATAAATACATAGTACATAAATTGTTAATAATTGTCATAAAGACAATTTTACATAATTTCTTTTCATGACATAATGATTTTCATTTTACATAATTTCTTTTACAATACATAATTTTTCATCACAAAACATAACAATATTTCTTTTATAACAATATAACATATCATAACATTTTTTTTTTTTTATATATATCATAACAGTTTCATTACATAATAATATTTAATATAATATAATATTTTTTCCATTTGATTTTTAAACATAATAACATAGTAATTAAAATTTTTGGTTAACACATTATACCTTAATAACTAATACAATAACATACTATTTTACTATAGCATTGGATATAATAATATTTTAATGTTAAGTTACATGTTATATATAATATATTTTTAATGATTACAAATATTTCATAATCTCCAATGGAATTACAGACCAGTATATTTTAATAAGTGCGTGTTTAAATTTGTTAAAATCAATAATTGACTGCGCTGGCACAATTTCAGTAATATTATTTTACTATTAAAACAAAATGAGTATTTTCCATTTTTATGTCACATGGTTACCGTTTTACTAAAGGTCGAGTAACCATGCTCCAAATAAAACTTCAAATGACTTTGTTAAAACTGTAAAATAATTTTCTTTGTTAACCAGGGAAATGACTAATTAGATTTTCGTATTTGTATATTCTAATCGCAAAATCAAATATACATTTTGTATATATTACATCTGTTCGTGGGTCATGGGCGTGAGTTACCTTGTGTTTCTTTTTACATATTAAACTATGTCCCTCGGTAAGGTTTAGTATCCTTCCCGATTTGTCATAGTATCCTACTTCTATTTCGAAAATGAGTTTCTTAGTTTCTACTCTTTCTAACTGCAAAAAAAAATTGTCTATTTAAATATTTGTCATAGCAGCGTAAATTTAATAAAGGAAATTCCGTTAGCCCCAATCTTTTTAATATAATTTTGTCTGAACTCCCGCCCCATGTTACTATTATGTTTATTTTGTTATCACGCTGTATATAATTCCGTATGTATGTAACATTTAGACTATTAATTGGTGCCCTCAAACTTTGATTTAATTGATCTAAACAGACGTCTCTCATTTGCGTTTTTACCTTAAAGATTCGCGCTAAAGCTGCTCGCGCCACTACTATTTCTTTGTCCTTCATTGGTCTTACTTCATCGTTTGCTGGTAATAATAGTGGTCTTCCTTCCAGTTTTCTAATTTTATAACGGTCTAGACTGTTCGATATGGCACCTGATATTAGTACATAATCGGTCCTGCGAATGTTGGTGAATTCGAAATCTACTATTACGAATTTGTGGGTGTTTTTTCTATATATAACATGAACATTTTATTATAATTACATTATTTAAATATAGATTAATTACATATTAATTACTTATATATCTTTAATTCAATTAACTACTTTAACCATTTATTATCGATGGCAACTTAACACCTGTATTTACCTTGCTTGTACTTGTTACTTCATTACCTTGCATAATATTTTCCTTAATTACATTTTTATCTTCATTTACCTTACTTTGTATTATAGGTTTTTGTAATTCGTATGATTGTGGGTTATCCCTATTCATTGTTTCATACATTTGTTGCGTATAAAATTTACTCCTATTAATTGGTTCACCTATCGATATTGTCCTCCTAGTATTGGTTCTTTTCAAAACATCAGTATAACGATATATTACATATAGTATTACTAGTATAATTAACAAAAATAGAATCAATCCTAATAAAACGTACGTCATATAATATTTAGTATCTTCTGCATTTCCACTCTGCCTATCTATTTCTTGGTCTATCATTGACTGGATGTCACTCAATGAATGAGCTAACTCATGTACATTATCTAATTTTAATAAATCATGTTTTTGTGTGTACTTTGGTATTGTTATTGCATCGAGTTGTGGGATTTTTAATGTCAAACTTCCTATACCTAATTTGGGAATGAAATTTATATAATATTTTGACTTGACCTCTCTAGTGGGATTTAAGACTATATCATTGGCATAAGCTCTACATTCCTGTTTTAGATTAATTAACCCTTGATTTTGTAACTTCACTATGTAAGGTTCTTGTTCACCTTGACACGTTATGGTCAATGTGTCACTAGTAGTAGTGTAAATCCATGTGTTGGCATATTTCAATTTATGATAAATATTTTTAGTAATTACTATAATTCCTGCCTCACAGTTACTAGGTAACTCATCCGGATTTTTGAATAACGAGACTTCACACGGTTGTCTAACCGATTCATGTTGTACGGGTTGAAACTCTGGACATATGATAAAAATCTCAGTTTCTGTACAGCTCAACAATTGAGTTTCAGTGAATGTTGTGAACTGTTTCCTATTTCTGGTTATTCCTACATACTGGAATTCGGGTTTTAATATTACACTATGATGTGAATCAAATTTATGTGGAATAGGTATTATTTTGAACAAGGTTAATTCTAATTCGATTACTAGTGGAATTTTTATTAGAAAAACAATTTGGTTCCTACTATAGTACACGGCCATTTTAGTTATTTTACTTAATTCATAAATTTCATTTGGTTTTGATCCCATAGGCAAATTTAGATTAACGGGTAAATTTAATTTAATTTGAGTTAGCTGTTTAGCCAGTTCCCTAGGGGTTACTAGACTTGGGTGTAATATTCCTGTTCTGGCGGCTGTTATTATGGCACTTATAGTCGTAGTAGTATATATTTGTATGTTCACAGCCAGCTTTTCCAGGGAAAAAAAAAAAGTTCAAGGGGAGAATGTCCCCTTGGAGCACTCAGATTTACCGTGTAACACAATTTCACACTGATTGACTACCAAATTTCGTCTCACACAAAAAATATTTAACATTTACCAATTTTTAAAACTAAAATAATTATTTCAAGAAAAAACACAAATTATTAAATCATAGTTTTTTTTATTGTTACAAATAAATTCTTAATAATATTTACACAAGTTTTCTTACTTCTCTAGTAAAAGGTACATATTCTACAATACGATCATGAATTAAGAAACAGTAAGCAGTCACACCTGTGAACGATTCTGAAGCTTCAATTTCCAATTGAACATCCACTGCTGAGGCTGTGGCTGAATCGTTTTGTTTCGAAGTATCGATAACTATAATTGGAGCGTTTGTCAGAAAAGTAGAAGGACTCAATATCGGGTTGCGAATACTTTTTTCATAGTACGATTCTTGAAACGATGTATACATATTATATAATAAGGTGAAGTTATTTTTAGTAAAATCTAAATTCAAATTATCGTATGGATAAGCTATAGAGTTCAGAAATACTTTAACGTTTGTTAAATTACAATGATCAAATATACTACAATCTTTTGTTAGCAAATTTTTGCGTCCTTTTTGTAATCCAATTATGATAAATCGCGGTTTTTCTAATTTTGAAGCAGTTTTCAAATTCCATACGACTTTTTTAGTGGTTCCGAGTTCAGGATATTCAAAAGTTTCAAAAGATCTAAAAGGGATAAATAGACTTTTTTCTTTTTCTATAAGTTTCAATAATTTCAACCTTTCTTCATCGTCGACCGTTATATGTGGGACCTTCCAGACTATTTTATTTAAGGTGATTTTACCTTCAGTAGCAGTTGCACCACTTTTAACTTGTAAAGCATTTAAATCACTATGACTTCGGGTTAATATTAATTCCAATCTAGAATTCACTAATATTCTTTTATAGTCTTCAAACAATCCTAACCAATATTTCAATGGTATGCAAGCACTAAATTCACCTTTTTCATTTTCCGATTGCGTTGCGTTTTTAAAATTCCAGCCAGCATTTTCATAACAATTGTAGTTATCTGGCGTACCGGATAAGTAACCTTTCAACGAGCTGGTGATTCCAAGAACACGTGTGCTATCTACTTCTATCCCATTGATTTCCAATCGTATTTGTTCGAAGAGGTAAGAGTAACCGTTATTAGATAGTTTCACTTTGGTAGCATCAGTAATTGTTCCTTCCAAAAAAATAAAGCTTTCGTGTAGATATGGGTAGACATCCGTTTGCTGGATTGATATACGTATTTCATCATTATTATTAAATGATGTAGTATACGGTGTGTATGAATGATATTCAATTTTCGTAATTTTAGAATCCGTTTCGTACTGTGAAGTTATATCTAAAATATCACTCTCAGGCATTCTGCTTTAATTGATAACCCAGAGCTTGTAAAATTTTTTTATTTTTTACCGTTAATTTTTTTATCTTATTTGATGTTGCTGGTAGCACTTTAGTCTTATGACTAGTTGTGCTGATCCGAAGTAGCGGGTTTATATTGAATTTCAACCCCATCTCAAGACCCGTAACGTTTAATATGTAACACGATTGTCAATGCCTCACCAAAATTATCAATCGGATTATGATCTTGATCAACTAACTGAACGGTTATCGAATCAATATTTGTTTTATTCAATTTGTAATATATTAAATTTGGCGGTGCCTGAATTACTTTCGACCCTGTCTTTCCACTCGGGAAAAACTCATAAATCGAATGACTCTGAAGATGGTTGCTGAATGATCCTTGAGCTATATTACACATTACTTTTATAGAATTAATTGTGTTTAAATTTACAGCTTTTTCCGATCGAAGAATGTTGTATGGATTATATACTCGTTTTTCAAAACCGAATACAGGTGCTATACTAAATGGATATTCAAAGTGTAGTATCCCATTACATTTTATATACGATCTGAAATCATCAGGATCAACCGTAATGTCGAATGTTAAATTGGTCAAGTTTTTACTATTATAGGCAACTATTTGCTTCTTAACTCGATCCTTAATATCTTCAATTTCATAACAACCCTCTTCCAATGTAATAAAACATATCATAGGATTATTATTGTTTTCATTATCAACTACTTGTATAGAAAATTTATTATTATTTTCATTCATATTTGGGAATAAATTAAATGACTGTAAACATAACAAAGCTATTTCTGAGTCATCGTAAAGGTTTATAGGTGGAAAATAATTTACAGATAATACAGTTGAATTTCCAGTCAAACTTAATGTAATAGATTCATGCATTGTAAAAATTCAAGACATAAATGACCACAGTTAAATGTATTGAAGTCTTGATAGTTGGAATAGTTATATACTATTTTGAACTGTCTGAAATAATGTTGTAATTCAATTGGTGGGGGTAAATCACCAAAGCTATCAAAATATACAACTTTGTCCTTATTTTTATAAAACGCTACCCAATGGCTTCCATCGCCTGAAGATATATCCAAGTTTAATATACCACATTCAATAGCGTGCGGTTTTTTAGGTAAGTTATCACGTGAAAAGACTCCACGGAAATGATTGATTTTCAACTTTCCAGTATATTTTATAATATCTTGAGACGAAAGCGGTCTGTCAGGTAGCGTGATCATCAGTTTTTTTTTCTTAACCTATTCTTGTTTGATTTCAAACCGCTACCTTTTTTTCTTTTTGAATTTTGAACCGCATTATACACACTAGCACCTCCAGACATCAAACTACCAAGTGCTGACAATCCCGCAAATATAGGTATTGAGGGAATTACACCTCCTGACTGTCTCGGTGCTAAAATCAGTCTTTTACCGCCATTCTTTTTCTTTAAGATTCTTTTTTTCTTCGCTGCTAGTATACCATTTGTTTTTATAGCACTTTTCCGTTTACAACCCATACCTATTTTTCTTTTAGCTTTCATTGCGTTTGTTACTGCGTACGCAACTAATTTCTCTTTTCTAGGTGTATCTTTTGCTTTAAATCTTTCCCAAGCACGATTTTCTAACACTTTATCAGCTTTATGTCTATCGTCTAAATTCTTACTCGTTGCATACACAATATCGTGATCACGACAAGCAGCATCCAATGGGTTTATTCCTTTATCACCACGATCTAGTCTCTTTTTTAATTTCGTACCAGGACCACAATACTGATATCCTGAAACATGGGCTTCGAACGGGAGACTATTTATAAGGGAGTTTACAAATCCTTTACCAGTCTTGTTTGAATTGTACTTACGAGTTGAACCCGCCATCTATAACTGACTATAAATTGGAAAATTCTAGAGTATTTATAAGAAAATAATATGGATTTGATAGAACAGAAAGATAAATTGGATGTTACAAATGTAGATGTTCAGGTAGTAAAAAAACCTTCACGACATGGTTCGTTATTACCCGATACTATACGTGCTATACTAGTTGGTCCCAGTGGCTCAGGAAAAACAAATATAATGTATAATCTGATCACACATGCAAACGGGTTAAGATTTGAAAATATTTATTTATACTCGAAAACCTCTAATCAGGAAAAATATGTTTTATTGAAAAAAATAATAGATGATATAAAAGGTGCTAATTTTTTCATATTTACAAGCGCTGATAAGGTTATAAAACCAAACTTAACGAAGAAAAATTCTATTATAATTTTTGATGATGTGATGTGCGGCCCACAATCTGTAATCAGAGAATACTTTAGCATTGGTAGGCATTCAGGTGCCAGCTCCGTATTTTATTTAGCACAGACATATTCTAAAATATCAAAACAGCTTGTAAGAGATAACGCAAACTTTTTAATAATACTGAAACAAGATGATACAAATTTACGACATATATTCAACGATCATTCGTCTGCAGATATGGATTTCTCAGAATTTCGGAAAATTTCTCATTTATGCTGGAATCATAGCTATTATGGGTTTATGGTTATCGATAAAACTCGAGAAATGAATGAAGGAAGGTATAGATGCGGTTTTCATACATTCATTAAAATAAAATAATTTTATGTGTTGATATAAATATACCGCCACACAGTTATTATCTGCATAGTGTAATCAGTAGTCATACGATACAGATATATTGCATTTATTATTTACAATGAACAAAGAAAAAGTCTTGTTGGAAAATTTAATAACATCAAAACAAAATATACAACGAAAAATAATGGAAATGAAACGTGGTGTTATAGATTCTGAAAACTATTTCCGTGAGGCATTTAAGCCGATAATTGAACCATTGAGTACACATGTGAAACAAAATGTAATATGTAACACACGGTCAACTGAACTAGAAAATAAAGCAGAAACCCCGTGCATTAGTGAAGAAGATAATGATGATGAATTAAATTCATCATATGAAAATTTTTTAAATAACCGTCCTAAATCAACACGTTATGATAAATCTTATGGTATGTATTATGATAAAGATAGTGATTCATATAAAATAGGAAAACATTCTGTTACTTTTAGTCACGGCAAATTACTGTTGCTTAATAAATACTACCAATTTACACCAGGACTATGGTCTTTATTATGTGAGAAGGAACCAAAAAATACAACTATTGCAGATATAGAATCTTATTACAATATTTTGAAAACTAGTGGAGTCCATTTAAAAGCAGATGGAAAACCTAGAACCTCGAGGTACCATAAATGGGTGACTGTTGTAAAACCACTGTATGATCGAATGAAAATGGAGGAAAAACAGTTTAACGAAGAAATAAGTAAAATTAACGAGAATACAACTCCTCGAATTAATTTAAAATCATTTAACAATCATTTATCTAGTTCAAGCGCTAAACGCAGAAAAATAACACAAGAATTTGAACCATTTGATTTTAATCCAGAAGCAAACAGTTCCATGTCTACAAATCCCGTAGTTGAAAAGATGTTTAATTTTACTTCATCACCAAAGACTATGAAAGGTTCTGGTTTATATAAAGATGTCTTACCTCAAACCCAATTAGTTTATTATGACGATCCGAATGAGCTAGTAACTAGATTAAATCTTTTGACATCATCACAAAGTGTTGGTAATACTGATGTGAATAATGAAATAATATCTATTTTAGAAGAACTACGTGAGAGAAATATTATAGTATAATGACTACCTTAGAGAGTATAGCTAATGAGTTACATCGACCAGCGAGAAAAATATTTCCTAGACGTAGTGTAGTAACGCGGTTTATTGATGACCTCTGGCAAGCTGATTTAATGGACATGCAATCTCATTCTAGACAAAATTATGGTTTCAAGTTTATTTTAGTTGTTATAGATACATATAGTAAGTACGTATGGCTTGAGGCGTTGAAAAATAAAACATCGAAAGAATGCACAAAAGGTATGTTTAATATATTGAAAAAAGCTCATCCGAAATTATTACAGACAGATAATGGTACAGAATTTTACAATGCTCAATTTCAAGATTTAATGAAAAAATATAAAATTAAACATTACAGTTCATACAGTGTTATTAAATGCTCAATCGCGGAACGCGTGATCCAAAGTCTTAAAAATAATATATATAGACATTTTACTGCTACTGGTACATGGAATTGGTATAATACACTATCAAAAATTACACAAAATTATAATAATACAAAACATAGAACAATCAAATGTACACCGAATGAAGCTCGAATGGATACAAACAATAATAAATTTAATACACAAATAAATGATACATTATATTATCCAAAATTTAAAGTTAATGACAAAGTAAGAATATCTAAGTATAAACATATATTTAGTAAAGGATATACACCAAATTGGACAACGGAAATATTTACAGTTTCAAAAGTTTTACAGACAAATCCAGTAACTTATCAACTAAAGGATGAATCAGACAATATAATCCTAGGTGGTTTTTATGAACAGGAAATTAAATTAACTGATTTTCCAAACACCTTTCTCATTGAACGTATTGTAAAAAAAGTTGGGAATAAAATGCTTGTTAAATGGTTAGGTTTTGATTCAAGCCAAAATTCATGGATAACATCATCAGATATTTCAACATAATTTTTTATGTATAATATTTTGTTAATTTTTTTTTAAATAAAATAAAAAAATTTAAGTTTTTTTAAGTCGAATTAATTATTTCACATGATCTCCTGATCCTCAATAGTCTGTTTGGTTAACCTAATGTATCCACAATCGATAAAAAAAAAAATAAAAAGCGACATCTAGTGGTAAATGAATCAATGAAAATAATAATAATACTGTTGTATTTTGTTCCGCTAGATAACGCTTTTTATAATAAACCATTAAGTTTATAGTGACCATAAGCTAAAGTATTAATCCCGTCATCCATTATATAACGTTTATCATCGTTTGCGCTTAGAACAAGTTTGTTCATTGTTTTCGAATGAACAACATGTTTATTTGATTGGATAAAATTCATTTTTCTATGAGTTTGTTCATCCTTGAGAGTTCTATGGTTTATAAAGGCGTTTAGTATATCCATATAATTATTAAATTGCATGTGATTTTTAATTATATATTTCTTTACACCTTTTGCCTTTTTTTTTTCAGTACCATCTACAGTTTTATAGGCATATAATTTAGGTCTTAATGATACGAATTCTTTAATTATAATTGATTTCATTTCGTCCTTAAAAAACCCTGGCTGGTTCTTATGAATTTCACTAAAACAACAATGGTCTTTAGGATAATTAGATGTGTCAAAATATGGTAATAAACTATTTTTTAAATCGTCAAAAAAATTTGTTGTTTGGATAGCATATATTAAAGAATCAGTATCCGAATATAAAGAACTAATTTTAGTACCATACCTTTTCTTCATAACATTATAATGGAAGTCATATATAAATGTTTTCGAAACGTCTAAAATTGCAAATCCTACATAAATTGCCTTATCGAATTTAATTGTCTCTTTATGCTGATGAATGGCCATGAGATTCTTAGAATATATAGTTCTGTCTTTAAAACTAGTTTTTGCCATTAATTTCCTTGCTTTTTTTTCTGAAGAAACCAGTTTTATAGAAGTTCTTGCTCGAACATTCTCCATACATTTACCAAAAACGCTATTAATTAACAACTTCCAGAAATCCTTCTCAAACTCGTTTTTAGCTAGTACTCTCATAGATGTACATAATTTAATGTATGATGCCATCCATTTACTTTGAGAAAAGCGGATAGCTCTATGAATTTTCGTTACTACAATACCATTCGCGATCACCTGTTTCAAATTTTTATAATGAACTACATAGTTTTTTTTCGATGATAGTGTAGTGAGTAATTTTTTAACTTTCGAATTTGGTGGACATTCATTAAAAGGTAAAAATGGAAAATCGTTATGATTTTTATGAAGATGTTTAGGATACTCAATATCAACTTCTAATATATATCCAACTTTAGAATCATCAGCAATTTTGGTTACATCTATGTCGAGATCGTCAACCCATTCAAAATCTTTAAAAGGTAATTCAGTTAACATAGACTTCCCATACAAATTCACACAGTCGAGATATGTAATCCATGTGATCGGTTCATTCGAATTAAAGTCCAATCCTTCGATATTTGGTATGTTTGCTTTGACATACCTTTTAGTTGATTGGCAAATCCCGCCTCTAATTGACTTTTCGAAGAGGAGCAACATGTTATAATCCATTAGCCTTGATAATTTGACCTTGGTATACTTCAGCATACAGTCAAAAGCAAACCCGGGAGCAGTCATATAATGAGCAGGATCTAGTTCGAGAGTAGATAAACATAAGTCTCTAAAATTTTCGAACACGTCAGCTAGTATGACAACATCAGTTTTTAAATAAAGATCGCTATATTCACCCAAAGTCTTTATATCAAATGTTTGCCATATATTTTCAGCATGTTTATAATCTTCATCACTAATTCCCTCGTCTGTTAAAGAGTTATAAAATTCTAGCTTTGATGGTAAAAAAGTATCATCTAGTTTACTCCAACTATCGACATATTCATAAGGGAAGACTCCTTTTCGTGTAACTAAATCTAGTGCTTTCGTAGAAAATATTTTAAGAGTTTCTCTAAATCTCGACTTATCTTCAGATAAATTTTCTGCAAGTTTACTTAATGACTCACTCATAAAACGGAATGTATCAACAAATTTTATACTAAATTTGTATGCGATTTCCTTGCTAAAAGATATATATTTTTCTGATGAATTAGGAATAACTTGAATATTGTGATCATCGCAACCGAGTTCCCGAATTATGAAATGACTATCATACGATAAATTATGAAAGAAAATTGGAATGAATGACGGATTAGTTATTTGAAAGTTACATTCGAGACAAAGACATTGTCTATATTTACCAGTAAAATGACAGTGATCTCGAACTTTAATTAAATTATTTTTTTTTAAATGTTTTGAACATTTTTCACATCTTTTAATTCTTTGAAAATTTTTTTCTTCTTTTTCACTTAATTTATTCATTGGTGTATTAGTCTCGTAAAGTGTTTTGATATTATTTCCGATATCAATCATATTTTCCATAAATTTTTTAGCTGCATTTTCACCTCTATAAATAATCACCTTTCTAGGAATTTTAAACTGTTTTACTAGCTCTTTTGGTATAATATCATAGTTGACTTTTACATAAAACCCATCGCTCATAATTTCATGCAAATGTGTAACATGTGTTTTTTTTTTTTTTCACAACTCTGAATGTATTCATCAGGTTTTTTAGGAGTTAAAATACATTCGAAGTCTGCATAAATAACAATTGGTATCCTTTTAGTATTTTTATAATTTTTAAAATAAATAAATTCATCATCTCCCTCTTCAAACATTATAGGTCTCCCTAATTGGTTCTTTCTACAATTATGCTGATGTTCAATCAATCCTTTCATGCCCCAAAGTTTGCTCTTACATGGATTATTCCCGAAAGTAGTAAAACATCTTTTACAGATAATTAGCTTGGAACAGTTTTTAGTTTTCTGACTTCTAACGAATCTTGAAAAATTTTTTATATAACAGTAATGCGATGTTTCATCATTATTAAACAAAAATAGATCAAAATGTTTTTTTTTTTCAATATCACATATATACAGAGGAAAAATATGATCTTTATCATTTAAACTATAAAGATTAATTGATACATCGTTTACACGTTCAAATTTTTTCATCTGACTGATGGGTGTTGGAAAATCAATACATTTAAAATCTAAACCACTTTTTTTTTCTAACATTTTAAAATATTTTTTATTTAAATAAGTTTTATTCGAACGATTATCGAATTTAGATAGTATTGAATATTTAAAACATTTATCATCGTTATTTTTTACATTTATAATTGCTTTTTTATCTTTCATAAATTCAGGTAGATCTATATACGTTCCTCCCCTGAGAGGATTCACTATATTAATTCTCAATTGTAATACATCTATAGTCTTAAGGGACCACCCAGATCCTTTCGCTAAAAACTGGTCTTGCTCGGATAATAATTTATCGAACATCCTATTTAATAATTTATTGAAATCGGATGAATTACATGCAAGTGTATTAGAAGTTTTGAATGCTAAGTCCTGAACTTCTTGAGTAATTATTCGTTCGTATACACTATCTACATGTAAATTAAATTTTATAGATGATTGTAAACATGATTGTTTTAACTTTAAAATTAATTTATCTCTAACATCGTTAAAAAAAAGCATATAGTCTATAAAATCTAAAGTATTCTTAATCACAAATGTTTTCGAACATTTTTTAAACCTTTCAATTTCAAATAAACCTTCATCAGAAGATGTCATCCGCTGACGTTTTGTAACCGTTTTTCTTTTCATTGTGAAACTGAAAATAGATTAAATAAAAACATGGGTATAAGCAATAATAATAATATTGAAACAATTTATTATAACATCAACTTCTTTTTAAAAAAAAAAAAATCTTATGCAAGCAATTTAGAATATTTTTTTTATTTTTTTTTTTTTTTTTTCATAAATATGATAATAGTATTAATTCTAAATTATTATAAAAAATTGATTAATACAATAAGAAATTACTCAGATTCTAATTCTCTTAACCGATTGCTTAGTTCTGTTAACCGATACTGAAGATCTGCTTTACATTCACTTGAATAGTTTTGGAATCTATTATGTTCATTTATCAACTCAATTTTTAAATTTAAATGTTTCTTCATACTATTATTAATTTTTACAATTACTTTTCGAAATGCTTTCTGTTTCTCGTTACAATAGCGTCTATTTGCACGCACCTGTTGTTCTACTGCTAGAATTCTGCTTTTAATAATGTTTATTTCTGAGCTCATGATTCTGAAAATTACATAGAATTTCAAAACTAACTATTAATACTGGTACATTGTTTATACGCTCATTATGTTAGAAAATTGATACGTTTTTTTTAATCTAAATTTTTATTAAATTAGTTTTATTTGTACGATTATAAAACTTGAACAGTATTAAACATTAAAAACATTTATTATCCTTCGTTAGATATTATATACACAAAATGATATAGGTTATAATTTACTACAATATCATTCGATATATAATTATAAGATAAAATAATAAATAATAACAAAAATAATTTATTTATATTGATTTTTATTTTTCGAAAAACAGAATATTATCAGTAAATATATTATTATATACTGTCTAATTGTTCATACAAATCGCTGAGCCCTCTTTGGATACTTTTTTCGCAAAGAAATCAATGTATAATGAACTCTTATATTCATGTAATATTTTTTGTTTTTCTTCTATTAATTTATTTTTAGTTGTTTTTAGACTTGCTTTTGCTATTTTCATATTAATACAATTCAGATTTTTCCTAAAATTGAATTTGGCTATTCTCATGCCTTGTTCGTTTTCCTTGCGTTGTCTCAAGATGGCGTTGATTTTTTCAGTTATTAGTGATGACTCCATTTTTTTTTTTATTCTAGAAAAATGAATATAATTTGTAAACTAACTACTAGTTATAAAATAATGTATATTAATGTCCAAAATTCATTATTTTATTTTATATTTAACTTTTTATACAAGAAAATATTACATGTTAATCTTAATTTATTGATATTTCTTAAGGACTAAAGTTCTCCTTAGAAAAATATTGCTCGGTTAACTCTTTTTTTACAACATATTTCCATGTTATGACCACTCTTTCTGCTAATTTGCCTACGACTCCACCTCTGCTTCTTAATTTGTTGACTACTCGACCAATTTCAGTGGCTTCTAAAAGTTCCATAGTCATCGGAAGTTTCAAAAGTTTGCATAAACATTCATATATTTGTTTGTTGTCGCAGATCTCAACAGCTCTTGTGATTTTTCTGGCATAGTGATTAATCACTCTGACTGACCTATATATTTATATATATATTTAAATATAAATGTTTCTTTATTGAGGTTAGTTCATATATAAATGCTTATAATATTTTATGAAACCAGATATAATATAAACATTTATATCAAAATAAAAATTAACTATGACGACAGATCATGTACAAGCTATAGTTTTCAATGATTATATTTAGTTTATAGAAATTAATGAATAATTTAATAATAACGTAAAGAAAACAACAATACTATATTATAAACTATAAAAAAAACATTGATTACCTGTGTACATAAATATAAATTTATAATATATTTACAAATTATTCATAATTTAAAAAAAAATTTTTTAACCTGATCTAAACCTTTCGCGCTTAGATTCTGCGGTTGTAATAAAATCTAATCTTTTACCAAAACAGTGTTCTCGTCTTCGAAAATTTGTAACATATAAATCACTATATTTTCGACATATATCTATTTTTTTTTCTCTTAATAAAATTAATTTAGCATTTAACTCTTTTATATAAGAAAAATTCGGTTTAGAGTTTGTTCTACTTAAATAAATATTATATTTGAGGTTTCTAATTTTTTTTTTAAGATTTTTATATTCGTATCTCTCTTTAATTTTATTTTCATCAATTATCTTCGTTAATATTACAATCTGTTCTTCATAATATTGAATTTGTTCACAACAATAATCATATGTATACCAAAAATTCATTATCTGTAATTTACCTGAATACATTAGTATAAAAAAATATAATATATAAATCTAAAATTAAATACAGATAGTAAACATTATTGAATGTTTTTAAATTAAAACATTTTTATGTAAAATAATATTATACGTATATTAATACAACCATGAAGATTAGAGAGCTCCTGGCAGAATAACCGTGCGACTTATTTGACAGGTCGCTTTATAAACGAGCGGCTATAGGAGTTTGTTCTCCTTATCAGCTCTAATCTTCATGAATACAACTATCGCATTATCAAAACCAAATATTTATAATCAGCGAAAGTATTTCAACGTTGATAAACTATAGATAACTGTAATAGCGTTTTTCCATATTCTGACTGTACTAGTACACACTACACGTGAACACTGATTCCATAATCACATAATTGACCACACCGTTGAAATTCACGGTGTCGGCCAGAGTGTACACCAGTGTGTACTAGTACAGTCAGATTTTGAGGTTAAGTTATAATAATAATTATCAATAATAAGCATGAACTAAGATAATATATCTTAGTTCGTGATAATATAGAACCCTTAAAACCTCAAAAAAATTTAAACACTTTATCCATGGCTGATAAGCCCGATGTTTTATCTTATCTATGTAAATCTATGATACATTGATCCAGCAGTTTTCTATATCGCGGAGTGTGGTCATACAGTCACATAATTATAACGTATTATTTATTTTATTTAAACATAACTTAACAAAAAAGAAAACAGCTTATATGATAGTAACTAAAAGTGAGAGTTGAGAAACCGTCTTAAACCACTACTTTTTTTCATAGGTTTTTTCACACTTGTTTTTCTACAGTAAGGTTCTGCAGTAAGGTTTTTATTTTATATAATCTGATCTGATGAAATATCTTTAAGTTTGTAAGCACGGTTTTAGATAGAATTTCTATCTAAAGTCATACCTACATGATATAACGTTCATAGTAATATTATAAAGCTATATTACAACGATACATTATTATTATTCTATTTTATTTAATTTATTTTTTTTATTTTAAAAAAGAAGTTTAGATGTTAAATTTAATAAATAACAATATAAAAAATAGTACTTACATAGCTTGTGGAAATTTAAGTATTTTTCTAAGTATGATGGCTTGTCGAAGAGGTCTGGTAATCTGCTGGCTGATTGTTGGTTGGTGAAGAAGGCTGTTCTGCTGCTGAGTGCTGACTGCTTTTGGTACTGCTGTGGGCTGCTGTTGCTTGAACTGATGACGATAAGCTAAGAAATTCTGTGTTTTATACCCGAAAATAGCCCCTCTCTGCTCACATCAGAAACTTTTTTAGAATGGATTTAAACATTTTAATATATTACACATCCTGTTTTCATATTAGAATGACATTGGTATGTATGTAAATTATTTTAAATCCTGTTTGTAATAATTTATATTCATATAGTGTAATTATTATATGAAAGCAATTTATGTTAGCAACAATTTAAATTCATATAATGTAATTTGGTGTTGTACCTCTATGTACATGTTTCGACCGGTTTCTGTAAGGCAAGGTCTGTAAGGTAAGGTTGCTGTAGAAATTTGTATTTTAAATTATTGAAGTAGTGGCAAAATCTGTGTATAAAAGACAGAGGGAATTCACTAATATTCACCAGTCTTCAAGATTTCATCCCAGGACAAGCAGCTCAGTTCAACAGAGATAGTACCAAAAAAAGATGTCGTACCGTACAATTGCTTCAACTGATTCAGAGGTTAGTAACTACTTAGTAAATATCTTATAACCAAAGCTAATTGGAGGCCAGTCGTAACACTACTCAACGCTATGGTTATAATTCTTAAAATAATATTAAATGCCTGATTATAGCATAGTTTAAAAAACTATATAGTAACTAAAGCATATTGGAGGTCAGTCGTGACATTACTCAACGCTTTGGTTATAATTCTTAGAACATAGAAAATATAAAATGAAAAAATAGTAAAAATAATATACTATGTTTTATGTTTCATAGAATGAACATTTCAGCGAATCAATTGATATGAGACCGTCTTTTTCAAAAACAAAACCTGGTCTAAAACGTACTGCAGAAAAAACAAGTGTGAAAAAACCTATGAAAAAAAAGCAGAATAAAATGGTAGTATAAATAATATTTATTATAATGATAGCATAAATAATTTAATTTTTTTATAGAATGTATCATACAGAGATAATGTTACCGAACGTTTGAGATCAGAAGAATTTGATGTCGAGTTAATTAATTCGCTAACATTTAGACAAGGGGACGGTGGTGTTGTAACAATCAAGTCACCTTTTGAAGAAAAAGCAAAGGAGCTTTGGGTAATTAGCCACTATAAGGTTGCTAACATTGAGAATGTACCAGTAAAAGACAGGTAAGTACATTGGTTTAAATTTAAAAAAACCTATTGATGAATCTGTTTTTTTTTTTTTTTTTCACTGATTTTATTTACTTCTTTTGTTTTTAAAATAAAATAATTTGGTGTTATAGATGGAAGTTCAGTGAAGCTACTGTCAGATTGTATACAAGCGATGAATCAAAAGATCAAACGCTTCATACTGGTCTTAATGAGACAATGCAAACCATATTTGACAAATTACTAACCGATCCGAAGCGTCAGACTATTAAAAGCAAGACGACCGTTTGATTATTATATGAAAAAATGAGTTTCATTTAATAAACAAAATATTATTATATATGTATGTTTTTATTTATTCAAAACTTAAAGGTCTTGGAAAACATAAACCTATAAACTATGGTTGGTTGGAAAAAAATTTAAAATATTAACAAATTAAAACTAAAACTTATTAAAACTATTCTTTATGATTTAAGGTGAGATGTAATTAAAATAAAAAGCAAGTTTATTATTGAATAAAAGTTTTATTAAAAAAAAAAAAAAAAAACAATAATTATACATATTTAAATATTTTTTTATGATATTAGGTCTTGTAAAATCATATCAGACAATGTGTTAAAATGGAATTGTAATATTTCATATAAAAATGATGTGTCATCGTTCTGTAGGTGATTATAATAATTAAAATCATAGTTTTGAATATATTGGTTGGTAAATTCGTTCCTTTGACAGGTGGACGGCAGACCACGGACATCATTTTTAATTAGGTCATATGCAGTGTTGAAAGTATTTTGATAATTTGCTAAACGTTTTTGCTTGTCTACCACGTACAAATCTATCAAATTCTGTAATTGACGAAGTCGGTACAAATCTACATGTGACAAGGTGATGTATTCCTCATTTATATGTAGGGTAATTAAACTCTGTTTAACATTGGTTGAATATGAAAAGGAATCGGTGATTTTTACACGCCTCACCCTAGTATTTAAATTATTAATAATCGAATTGTAATTAGGTTCAGACATCAGCGTAAACCATTCTTCTAAACTTAATGTGATAATTTTCTTTGTAAGTTTACATTCCAATAATAAAATAATTGAAATCTGCTTGTTAATTAGTAATCCAACTGTAATACTTTTCTTGTTAAAAGCCCGGATGTCGAATGTAGACTTACACACAATTATTGGTGAACTCATGGTGAAGTTATTTTTGACAAATTTAAAAAAAAAATCTTTTATAAATAAGAAGTGGGATATAACTGTTAGGAGTTATACATTGAACTGCTAGTTTGTTCCCTTTGCAGTCATATTATATACTAAAAAACTCTGGAAAAAAATGCAAAAAATGTGAACATACAGATAGCCAATGAGTGCGTACAAGAGAGGGAATTTACATATACTTACTAACCTGTTACCTGAAAAACATTTTAAATTATTTTATACGCACTAATTCGCTAGGACTGTATGTCCACGAGATATTAAATCGAATATTAACACATTTAAGATAAAAAATTCAATTTTGTTTTATTTTTTTTATCCAATACAGCAAATATTATAAGCAGCATAAATATATGTACCTATATATAAACATTTAAAAAAAAAAAAAAAACATGATTTAACAAATGGTGTCGTACGAACCGGTTTCACAATTACAAATAACTTCGGTTTTACAATATTTACTTAAGACTTTTTGAACAAACTGATTTCCTTTCATTAACAATACAAATAAACATCTAGGTGAGAATCGAGTATGTTCTATGAAACAATTATCACCGATTTCAAAACTATGTAGAATTATTCCACACCAATGACATTGAACTGCATCGTCGAGATTGATATAGTAAAATCCACATTCCGAGAGTTTGTACTTATTCTGTCCGGTATTTGAAGGGAAACTTCTAAAAGTTCGTAACCAATGTAGAGAATTCTGGATACGCTGGCGATGAATTGAATCGTATTTGATCGACCAATGACTGGATATCGTTTGTGCATTTTTGAAAATTCATTTTTGAAGAAATTAAATAACTTATTCAATTTAATAAAACTTTGAGAAAATAAAGAAAAATGAGACACAACTTGAGTGAACGATAGTTCATTAGTAACTGAATATAATAAAAAAAAAATAATCAACTTTAAAAATTATTGTAAATTTGTTTATCAAATTTTAGATAAAAAAACAGTGTAACCAACACAAGTAAAAAAGAAAAAAATATTAAATATTTTTTTTGCGTGAGACGAAATTTGGTAGTCAATCAGTGTGAAATTGTGTTACACGGTAAATCTGAGTGCTCCAAGGGGACATTCTCCCCTTGAACTTTTTTTTTTTCCCTGGAAAAGCTGGCTGTGAACATACAAATATATACTACTAGTCGTGGTTTCGTATGAAAATTGTGTGATTAATGCAGTGAAAATGTTATGTATTCTGTCACTGAGCATCATTGTTTCGATAGTGTATGTATGATTTTCTGCTGTTTTTAGTTTCTTATAGATTTCGCCCTGTTTGGTTACTAGTTCCTCATATAATGTATTCATTTCAGTGGATGTGTTTCCTATTCCTTGTACTACCGATTTGACTACAGTGGTTTGACTCTTTAAGATATGTAACATATTTTCATTGCTGGTTTCAATTTTTTCAATATTATTATTAGTTTCTTTGGTACAATCATCGTCGCATACTCCAAATAATGTTTTCATAGCACTACCTATAATGTTTATGAGCCCCCGTCTATTCCTATCAACCGTGGACATTTTATTATCAGATCCTACGTATCTACCAATAGATTCATACATTTGTTCTCGTTGCGTCGCTATTTCTTTAAACGTGGTTTTTACTACATGTGCAAATCTTGTGCACACTTCATATTCAGATATTGTATCCTTACAGTTATGTGACATATTACTAATTTCATTGAATAATTGATCATATCGTTTGTCATAATTAATTAAAGGTACATAAGTTACAAGTTCCCAATGTGCTCCTACAATCCTTAACTCGCCCTGATTTTCGAAAAATATAGCTGTCTCATTCTTAAATTCTTCATTTAAATACGGAAGTTGCCCTTGAATGGTAGAAATGCATAACAACCTACATAAGAAATAATTCAAATTCATCATAACAATTTATTGTTATGGTTTCCTACAATATTATATTAACTGTTCGT